GAATATCTAAAAACACTTGTGAACGCGCACTTTATCTTAAATAGTAATTACTTTAGACATAAACGTAAACACTCACGCCTGTCATCCAGAGGAGTAGGCAGAAACTGCAAACTTCCATTTGGCACGATTCACCTCTCTCGCCTCCTCCACATCCATAGGTAATGCACACACGCTCGTCGGTTAAGGCTACTCGTAATTCGGACCATTTTCAATATACTGTTGCGCGCCTAAGTTGACGTCATGTACCCGGCACTAGCGCCATCTAGTGTCGGTGACGAGAGCGAGGGGAGCTTTCCAGAAAACGACATCACTAATCTTTCAACCGACAGCGCCATCTAGTATCGAAACGAAGAACTAAGCTTCTAGAAGCCCGACACTCGAATTTTCGGCGCCTAGTCGATTGGCGCGCGTATTTACTTGAATATTCTGGATGTTTCGGTGATAATGTGTATTTAAAGGCGCTGCAAGATGCGAGCGGGGAAGTATTGAATTTGGCGAGACAAGCGAAGCTTCGGAGCGGAATAAAGTGAATCAGTGTGATTAATTATTAGTGTTTTAAGTTTAATTAGTGTGAAGTGAATTAAAGTGTTAATTTTGGTAATTCAATCGGCAGTTTTTATCGTCACGAACCTCAAGCTCGTATCAATTGGTGTCAGAAGTGGCATAAAATCATGCCGATTTTACCTAAGGAGGAAACGGAGGGTGTCCGTACCCGAAGTCAACGCCAGCAGGAAACGGACCAGAGACAATTTGGTGGTGCAACGCCGCAGAGATCGGAGGGCTAGCCACCGGCCGCAGGCCCGTCAGTAGCTCCTACATCTGCAGCACCTGACTTAGGTGCTCTGATGGTGATGCTGCAGGAGCAGGCTCGCCGACAGGAGGAACAGGTCCGTCAGTTGAAAGAGCAGCTGCAGGGTGGACAAGAGGAACAGACCCGTCGGTTGGAAGAGCAGATGCTTCTCATGAAGGACCTTCACGCTACCTTCGGAACGGAGATAAAGGAGGTGAAGGATAGGGTTGCTCAGCATGACAACCGCCTGTCGAAAGCTGAAACCCAAATCGCGAAAGCTGAAACCTGAATCGAGAAAGCTGAAACCCGAATCGACCAAGTGAACAATCGGGTTGACAACGTGATGGCTAACGTGAAGAAAACGCTGGACGACCTCAAACCGGGGGATGGAATTACAGCTCCCGTAGTAGCTACAACACCTTCGCAACGTGGGTTCAAGGTGCCACCGTTCTACGGGACTTCTTCCTGGTCGGCCTACAAAATCCAGTTCGAGGCTGTTATGAAGGCGAACGGCTGGAATAAAAGTCAGGCCATGACTGCTCTCACACTAAGCCTGCGCGACCAGGCCTTAACAGTTCTGGAAGCTCTTGGTAAAGAAGTGACTTATGAGCAACTCCTTGAGGCATTGGAGGCGAGATATGGCGACGCTCACCTGGAACACGTCTTTCGTGCGCAGCTTAAAGATCGCGTGCAGCGCATCAACGAAAACTTGCAGCAGTGGGCTCTAGATGTGGAGAAGCTGGTGCGAAAAGCATACCGGTCTGTACCTGCGCTCATTGAAGGGAACATGGTGCAGACATTCATCGACGGCATCCGCGAACTGGAAGTCAGAGCTGCTGTGAGGCTCGGGCACCACGAGACGCTTAAGGACGCCTTGGCTCATGCACTGGAGGTGGAAGCAGTGCGGCAGGATCATCGTTCCCATCGCCTCAGAGAGGTTGCAGCAGCTACAGTTCGCGACCGCAACAAAGGATTCAGTCCTAGGTGCTATGGCTGTGGGGAAAAGGGCCATCTTCAATCCAGCTGCCCTAAGCGAACCCTAGAAAGGGAAGGTGAACGATCTCAGGAGGGTAGTGCGGCCAACAGCACCGCCCAGCAGCAGCAGGGAAACGAGTAAAAGCCAGAACTGCGGGGCGGGTGCTGGCTGATGTTAAAAGAGCCCCAAGGATCTCGATCTCACAAACCCATGATGGGAACAGTCCAATCATCAAGGGCCAGGTCAACGGAATGCTGTGTAAACTGACCATAGACACTGGAGCCTCTCGTACGGTTGTTAGTTCCCAACTTATAAGTCAGTTCCTTGGGGACTCCGCATACAACCGAGAACGCATTAATTTGGAAACAGCCACTGGTCAGCGTATACCCGTCCGTGGAGAAAAGGAGATGGAGTTGGAGCTAGGCAACGTGATCTACCTGCATAATGTTATCGTGGCTGATATAATGGACGACTGCATCCTGGGCCTAAACTTTATGAGGAGTAACTAATGTTGTGAGATCGACGATAAGCAAGGTGTTTTGAAATGTGGACAGGAGGAACTTTTTATGGAAGGTGCGTTACCAGGGAACGTGTACAGCATTAAGAAGATTGTTGAAACGATTGTTCCGGTTAGTCTTCCTCGAAACGCTGGGCAAGCTCACCGTTGTGTACTTGTGGAAAGGGTAAACAATGACCTTCCATGGAAAGTAGCTCGAACCTTGGTCAGAACCACAGACATCTCAGGAGTACGTATGCTGAACCTTTGTGACCGGGAACAGATTATAGAAAAAGGCACGCTGATTGGTACTTGTGAGGAAGTGGATTGGTTACGTCGTTGCCAATGTCTATCGAGTGAGACCCCCAGCAAAGATGCACAAACGAAAGTGACCACACTTTTGGAAGACTGTCGCAGCGTTCTCTCCCCGACCGAAAGGTCAAGGCGAAGAAGTTGTTACTCAAGTATGCCGATGTATTCTCATCAAACGATGCTGACATAGGAAAGACTGGCTTAGTTCAACACAAAATAAACACAGGAGAAGAATTGCCTATCCGTCAGCGGCCAAGAGGATTGCCGGTAGCACGTGAAAAGGAAGTGGAAACCATGATTGAAGGAATGGTGAAGGATGGTGTTATTGAACCTTCCTCTAGTCCATGGTGTTCACCAGTGGTGCTGGTAAGGAAGAAGGATGGCAGCATGCGGTTTTGTGTTGACTACCGCCGTCTGAACGACGTTATGAAGAAGGACAGCTATCTCTTGCCAAGAATTGATGACACGCTGGACATGCTTACAGGAGTAAAGTGGTTTAGCACGCTGGATCTAAAAAGTGGCTACTGGAAAGCTGAAATTGACCCTAAGGACAAGAAGAAAACTGCGTTCTCGACGGGAAAGGGTCTGTGGCAATTTAAAGTAATGCCGTTTGGGTTGTGCAATGCTCCAGCAACGTTTGAAAGGCTGATGGAACTTGTACTTACCGGGCTAATTGGCGATGCCTGTCTGGTCTACTTGGATGACATCATCATCGTAGACCGTACGTTTGAGAAACACCTTCAAAACCTGAAATGCGTGCTCATGAAGATTCAGAGTGCCAACCTCAAGTTGAGTCCGAAGAAATGTTCACTATTCAAACGGCAAGTTAACTTTTTGGGGTATGTAGTATCGGAAGAAGGTATCCGCACGGATCCAGTGAAAATCGCCGCTGTCAAGGATTGGCTGGTTCCAAAAGACAAGACGCAGGTTAGAACATTTTTGGGTTTGTGCTCCTATTACCGGCGATTTGTGAAGAACTTTGCAGATATAGCCAAACCTCTGCATAAGCTAACCGAGGAGAAGCGACAATTCTGCTGGGATGAAAGTTGCAATATCGCATTCTCGAAGCTCAAGGACCGTCTGTGCAAAACACCTATTTTGGGATACCCTGAGGCAAGCGAAGAATTTACAGTTAACACAGACGCAAGTGATACCGGACTCGGCGGTGTGTTGTCTCAACGGAACGGTGATCGAGAGGTTGTGATAGCGTACTTCAGCAAGTCGTTGTCAAAACCGGAAAGGAACTATTGTGTCACAAGACGCGAATTGCTAGCTGTGGTAAAGTCGTAGCAGCATTTTAGCAAATATCTTCTGGGACGAAAGTTTCACTTACGAACTGACCATGCTGCACTAAAATGGCTATTACAGTTTAAAAATCCAGAAGGACAAGCGAGGTGGATTGAACTACTGCAGGAATACGACTTTGAGATCGAACATCGCAGCGGAAAATCTCACGGCAACGCAGATGCATTGTCAAGAAGACCTTGTCCTGAAGATTGCAACCATTGTACTAGGCAAGAGAGTAAGGAAGTGGTATCCGTGAGGATGCTCAGGACAGACCACCTCAGCAACGAGTGGAAGGGCAGCTTACTACATGCACAGCAGGAAGATCCGGACATCAAGTGATTCTGGAATGGATAAAGGCCAGTGCTCCCAAGCCCAAGTGGAGCGACGTCTCAGCGATGAGTTCGACCACTAAAGCTAAAGTACCGGATGTTCTACAGCTGTACCATAATGATTGTTCACGAGGCCATCTGGGAGTTAAACGAACTCTACTGAAGATCCGAGAACGGTTTTATTGGGTCCACTGTCGAAATGATGTCGAGGACTGGTGTCGCAAATGTACAAGTTGTGCGGCTGTAAAGGGACCTCAGACTCGTAGTAGAGGTGCATTGAAGTTGTACAATGTTGGTGCACCATGGGTGAGAATAACCATTGACGTGGCGGGGCCGTTTCCGGAGAGTGAAAGCGGTAACAAGTATTTCATGGTTGTGATGGATTACTTCACTGTCTTCGCCATTCCAAATCAATAAGCTTCAATAGTTGCAGATAAACCAGTTCATGAAGTCTTCTGTCGTTTTGGAGTACCTTTAGAGATTCACAGCGATCAAGGAAGGAATTTTGAGTCTCAAAAATTCCAATTATTAATATGTAATTTTTGAGACTCAAATATTCAATATTATTAAAAAACTTAATATTATTATTATTAAAAAACATTATGACATATGAAAGATTCCGTCTTAAGCGTCGGCGCGAGTCGGTCGTTTAACTAATTACATTGTGCCGTGCGTATGTGTGAGTCTCGTGTAAAGCATCGTTAATGCTATATATAGAGTTTAACGTTAATGCTATATCGACATCACTCGAACGCATCGTTGGAGACTTCGCACAGATTAATTTCATAACAGAGCAGTCAAGTTATAAACATGACAACTGTAAACAGTACATTTACGCAAGAGTGTGAAACTGAACAAGATTTAAGACCCGGAGAAATGAGTGTCAACGAGTCATTTATTGAAAATGAATCACCTCCTTCTTATATAACATTTCGGAAAGGTAGTAGCGTGATTCCTGCAATTTCCGATCTACAACAAGAATTTAAAACTCTTCAAAGCAGTTTACTTAACAGGCTTGATTCCTGGCTCTCAAAAGAAGAAACAAAATTTAATACCCTTCTTAATGACTTCGACGAAATTAAAACTACGCTGAAATTTATCAGTGATAAATACGATGATTTAGACAAAAGAACTCATGATGTCAGCAAGCGCGTATCTAGAATAGAACAGCAGCTGAAATCCACACCGGTTTTCGAGGCACGAATCTCTGAATTAGAAACTAAACTGGCTGAATTTGAACAAAAATCTCGAAATTGTAATATTGAGATAAGTAATCTGCCTGAAAAACGAAGCGAGAGCTTAATACAAATACTGGAGAATATTGCTAAAGTCATAAAGCAACCAATTTCTACTAAAGACATAGTTACAATTCATCGTGTACCTCATATGAACCCTAAGATTTCACGCCCGAAGAACGTAATTGTAAAATTTTTCAATCAAGCAACGCGTGACAACTTTGTTTCTGCAGCAAGATTATCAAAAGGAATCACAACAGAGCAAATAAATATGCATGGAGCCGTTCAAAATATATATATCAATGAGCACTTAACTATTCAAAGTAAGAATTTGTTTCGTCAAACTCGTGAAGCTGCAAAACAGAACGGGTATAGATTTGTGTGGATCAAGCGCGGAACTGTACTGGTTCGTGCAAGCGAAACATCTGCTATTTTTGCTATACGAAGGGTACAAGATATATTATCGAAAATTAAACCAAAGGATACCAAATGATGGAATACTTAGGATACTTGTGACTTACTTACAAAGGATACTTGTGAAATAGCTATTAGTAATAGGTTTGTGCAAGCGAAACATCTGCTATTTATGCTGTACAAAGATAATAACGTCAATTATCGAAAAGTAAACATAATGATACCACGTAACAAATTTAAAAATAATATGAATAAGGTACGTCCTCTTATAAGATTTATTTGCAAGCTCTTAGTGTTGCATTACTCTTGTGTTGTTTACGACTGGGACAATTCTTTTACCACATATATTTTTCTGCGGCCACCGTCACAATAACTATTTTGTGTTTACATTTTAATACAATTTACGTTTTCTAACAAACAACATAATACAATTATTACCAACTAAATTACTTTTAAAAAAATCTTGTACACGAACAAATTTTTGCGATATATAATTCCATATGTTTTTTATTTCGAATTTTACACTTTTTCATATTTTATTTTTTTAAATTATTACTAGTAATTCTTAAAACGTATAATATTTATAAAGATGGCTTATAAAATACAGGTATACTATCAGAATTGTAGAGGTTTGAGGACAAAGTTGAGTACTTTATTCAATAATATATTGTTGGAACATTATGATATAATAATTCTCACGGAAACATGGTTGACCTCGAATATTGCAGATAGTGAATTCATTGATTCGCGTTATGTAGTGTACCGATGTGATCGAAATCGAGTGTTATGTGGTAAAACAGACGGTGGAGGTGTATTGATTACGGTGCGCATGGGGCTAAATGGCACTCGATGTATTTTAAAGCCCACTTTTCACTGTGAAGACGAAATTATAAATGTCCCATCTAATATTGATTATGTGATACTTAAGTTTTATTCTAAGCAACACAACGAATATCACGCTGTTGGCGGTGTTTACATACCACCAAATCAACCTTTAACTGCTTACCAATTATTTTTAAACTCTCTCCAAAATGAGCTTATGTGCAACGAAAATACAAAAATATATATTTTCGGGGACTTTAATCTACCCGACATTGAGTGGCTGCAGTATGACGGGAGTACATGTACTCCTAAAACACATTACTGCAAAAATCCAATGACTTTGCTCGTTTCAATTTTTTTATCAATTGTAGGTTGCAAACAATTTAATTTAATTAAAAATAATAAGAATCGCATCTTAGATCTTTTCATTTCAAATAATGATACAAGTACTTGTAAGTCACCACTGAACTCTTTAGTTCCGATAGACGTCTTTCATCCACCACTTAACGCCGAGCTACATTTTAACGTAGAATACATACAATTGGCGCGTAAAACTTTACCAAAATACCGATTCTCCGAGGGTAAATATGCAGATATTAATTACGATATTAAGCGTGTAGACTGGGCAAGTATTTTAGAGGTGCCGTCCTTAGACACTGCCACCAACCACTTTTATGAAGAGATATATAAAATCATTAGGAAACACGTACCTTTACGCCCAACCAAATCTAAAAAGTTTCCAATATGGTTTACACGCCCACTAATACACATATTTAAAAATAAAGAAAAATCATGGATAAAGTGGAAAAAATCTTCTAACCAAGTAGATTATGAGGAATACTCTGTATTTCGAAAAAGATTTAAACAACTTTCCGCGCAGTGCTTTAATTCATATTTAAGTAAAATTGAAACAAGCTTGCAGAAAGACATCAAAGTATTTTGGTCTTTTGTAAAAAATAAAAAAAAATGTGGTATTCCCAACGTAATGTCTCACGATGGAAATGAAACCGATAATCCTGAGGACATATGTGAATTTTTTTCTATTTTACTTCAGTTTATGAGAACAGCTCACTGATGACGTACGACATAGATTCACTTCCTTGCTCATCAAACACTAACTTTATTATCTCAGATATATCATTTTCAAAAAACACAATAGAACAATGTCTAAAAAACTTAGATATAACTAAAAGTTCAGGACCAGACGGTATCCCACCTTTTTTCCTCAAACATACTGCTAGCTCAATAAGCGTACCTCTGTTCTATTTGTATAACCGCAGTTTGCGTGAAGGTTTAGTGCCCACAGTCTGGAAATCTGCGAATATAACCCCAGTGTTTAAAAACGTTTCTAAAACTGACTGACTAAAAGATTTAGGCATCCTTTACGATTCAAATCTAACCTTTAATGCTCATATCAGCCATGTAACAAATAAAGCGTATCAAATGTACGGAATTGTTGCACGAACCTGTAATTTTTTTAAAAGCTACTCATCTTATTTACTACTTTTCAAATCACTTATCAGACCACAAATTGAATATGCAACGCAAGTATGGAGCCCCTATTATAATAAATACGGTGAACTTCTAGAATCATTACAAGCAAAGTTCTTCGTTTTATAAATTATAAATGTTTCCACGCTAAATCATCGTATCGTAACTTATTAAAAAAGTTTTCAATTCATACTTTAAAAGCAAGAAGAATATATTTTGATCTGATACTATTATTCAAAATAATTCGAAATGATTTAGATTGTAGTGAACTACTTAACAAAATATATATCCGTGTCCCTAGTCGTTCTCAACGCATTAGAGACGTGTATACACATAAGTTGTTTGCGCCTAAACTATGTAAAACCAATGCAGGTGAACGCGCCCCATTAAGACGTATTATGAAAGTATATAACATGCATTTTTCAAATATTGATCTATTCACTTCATCACAGTTACAATTTCGCAAGAACATTCTAAGAAAGTTGGTAGATATTCAATAGTATCTTTAAATATTTTACAAGATAAATTTGTACTGCTAGCAATTTTTTTTAATTATTTTTTTTTCCTTTTGTCTCATTTTGATTTTTATGTTACTGAGTACTGTTAATTTTATTTTATTTTCCCTTTTTCACTTTTACTCTGTTTATTGGATTTTTACTGTTACCAATTTAATATTACTTTGTGGATAACGGTGCTGGTTACATAATGACTAATATTGTTTATAAAATGTTATTTGGTTTAAGCATTATTATGTAATTGTTTGTTGTCCTGAATAAATTAAAAAAAAAGTACAGCAGTGACACCAGCTTTCGAAAACTTTGGAAGAGAATTACGGCTGCCTGCAGACCTGATCACCGGGATACCACCTGATGCCCCACGCAGTATAACCGATTATGCAAATGACTTCCGGAACAAAATGAATGACATTTATGAGCACGTCAGACAATCGGGCCAGCAAATGTCTGAAAAGATGAAAACCCGGTATGACCGCAAAATGAACAACAAAGGGTTCGACGAAGGTTCACTAGTGTGGTTGCACAATCCAGTCCGCAGCAAAGGGAAATCTCCTAAGCTGCAAGCTAAAAGGGACGGCCCGTACCGGAGTGTGACCAGGATCAATGTAACCTACCGGATACAGAAAGGCGCAAGAGGGACTCCTAGGATCGTCCTTGTGGGTCGCCTGGCGCGTTATTATGGGGCCGATAATGCTCGGGACGAGCATGTCTTAGGAGGAGGCAGTATTGCGCGCCTACGTTGACGTCATGTACCGGGCACTAGCGCCATTAGTGTCGGGGACGAGAGCGAGGGGAGCTTTCTAGATAACGACGTCACTAATCTTTCAACCGACAGCGCCATGTAGTATCGAAGCGAAGAACTAAGCTTCTAGAAGCCCGACACTCGAATATTCGGCGCCTAGTCGATTGGCGCGCGTATTTACTTGAATATTCTGGATGTTTCGGTAATAATGTGTATTTAAAGGCGCTGCAAGATGTGAGCGGGGTAGTATTGAATTAGCGAGACAAGCGAAGCTTCGGAGCGGAATAAAGTAAATCAGTGTGATTAATTATTAGTGTTTTAAGTTTAATTAGTGTGAAATTAATTAAAGTGTTAATTTTGGTAATTCAATCGGCAGTGTTTATCGTCACGAACCTCAAGCTCATATCAATACTATCTCCAATTTGGTCGGTAGACTTTCCCAGGGAGTGCCTTCCCGACTCTGCCGTTCTCTTCTGCAACATTAATTTGCTTCGTCACTGTTCCTAATTCATTCTTACTGCTTAGGTCATAAGTTCTGTCAAAAACTTTTTATGAAATTCACTTTTTGATAATTATATAGAAATTTTATATGAAATGTAATGTAATTTAATTTAGAATACAATTTTATTTACATTATTCAAAATGCCCTCCCCTATTTTGAATACATGCCCTTAACCGACGCGACGCGGCCAATCATCAATCGCAGCACGCACCACACTCATATCTATTTCTGCCGCTGCTTTAGCCAAAGATGCTCGGAGAGATTCCAAATTATGATGAGGTTTAGCGCAGACTTTCTCCTCCAAATGTTGCCATATCTTATAATCCAGTGGACTTAAATCTGGACTAGAAGAGGGCCAATCTTCATGTCCGATAAAGGGAATTCTATGGGTTGTTAACCAGTTTTGCGTGCTTCATGCCCTATGAGCTGGTGCAGAGTCCCGTTGAAATATCCAATGTCTGTTTTTGAACATTGTTTGAAAAAGAGGTTCCACTGTTTCGGTTTTTGGTACACTAGTTTTTACACCTTTTTTCACAGAAATGCACCTCAGTTAAGCCTGAATATGAGCCTCCAAGCCAAACCGTGAGTGACGGAGGATAATTTGCTCGTTGAAGCCTCTTAATACGCATACTGGCTTCTTCACTGTATCATTTTGTTTATTATAACTTTCTTCTATATTGAAAAAATTCTCGAAA